TGTAATAAAAAAATTTTGAAAAATTTTAATCACCTCGTTACATAATTCATAATTGAAGAAAACTTGAACAAAATCAATGAAACTTTTTCTTGAATTGTTAGAATTCGCCTCTTGTCTTTTTTTTAGGGTCGTTAAGTAAATTTTTCATTCCAGTTTCGTATATCCACGGACAATGAATGATGAAAGACGAGAGAATTACGAAGAAGGTGGTCTTTAGTATAGTCTAAAAATAAAATTGAGCCTGAACCGAAATGTTTTCTTCTTTTTTTTTGGCAGCTATTGCAACGAGACAAGTTGAGCCTGTTGCCAAAAATTGAAAAACTTACAAGAGCCCCCTTATTCCTTATTCGACTCCTTAATTCAGTTGTCGATCGACAATGCAGAATTGTCGAAACTCCAGTGTACGTGCGATTTCTTATGCCGTTTGTGGGAAAAGTGTACATACTCTGTGTGTGTCTCTCTCTCTCTATATATATATATATATTTGCTTGATTTTGGCGAATTGCCAACAATAGCTGTTTCGCCGAGTTATATCTCACTCCATGGCAACAAACAAACATAAATGAATTATGTTCACGCGTGCCATTCGATGCTTTATACTGTACTATATAGGCACATCAAATTCGATTAGACCTTCGACCCTTCCTCCATTTTCATTCTCGGATGGACCAAAAACGTTTTGTATCAATTTGAAAGTAGTTACTTTACGTTGAGAGTTTAATTCTAGAGAAAGAGAGTGCGAGCGAGGGACTAATAGTTTATTATCCTCGATGTGACCTCTCGCACTTCGTTATATACATATACTGATTTTTCACAATGTTTTTTCTCTCTCTTTTATTTTAATTTTTGTTTCCATTTTCCAAATTGCTTCATCCTGTTCTTGTAATTACTCCTGATTCGTTTCGGATGAATGCACAATTTCGAGCGGTGTGTGGAGGTGGCACAACAACTCGGTGGAGAAAAATGTGTCTCGTAGATAACTTTATGACTGATGAGAGCAACGTTGGACAAAACAAAAAAAAAATTTATACATCCGGGATAACAAACTTTACATATGTCACTCGAAATGAAATTCATTCTCGAGGGAAAAATATATTTACGAGATTGATGCAAATTGCAAACGAATAATAATGAAAGCTCTCTTGTAATTCGAGATTTGATGTACATATATGGAAAGACTTATCTTTTTCATTAAATTTAATTAATTGATCAAATTTTAAAAAATGAAATTGTTGCTATTTTTTTAAAATTCGATTTCAATTTGTTGAAACAAGATATTTTTTTTTCTATCAGAGAATCTTTAACAAATCCATATGGATTTTAATTTTTTAATAATTGGTAATTGGAATAATTTTTCCAATATTCTGCGATTACAATTAATTCAGTGTGAATAAAAACCATTTGGATTTTTTTTTTTTTTGAAACTCATTTTGATCAGTATCTGAAACTTGTACATTATTGAAATTAAATTTTGTAAGTGGTTGCATGTTTTGCAAAAAGACTTTTTCTTATCTCTAAAAAGACCTCTCGTGTTCTTTAATTCTTTCTGCTTTTAAGTGTCTTGCATCGTTTACTTAATATTACAAGATGTACAATTAATTTTACGTAGAATTTTCTTTTTTTTTTTTTTTGTAAAACAATAATCGAATCTTTAAAATATTTTTAGTTTTAAGTAATTTTTAGTTTGTACGAAGAAAATTTTTGCGAAAAATAATATTCTCTTGTGTGATAAAGATTATAATATTTCCGTGAAACTTATATATTAAACTTTTTGTAAATTTTTTGGTTTCTTCTCAAAAAAAAGTAAATATTCCCAAAGAATTATTATTTTTAATTTGAATTTTTAAAAAACGCTTTTACAAACTTTGGATGCACTATATTTTATTTATAATCGTTGGATGAAAAAATATCAAACAAAAAATTAGAACATGTACTTTGGCGACTTTGGCAAAGGACACGACCAAAGAAAATCTGCAATGTAGATGGTAGATCTCCAATTTCGAAAAGCGTTACAGCGCCACATACGGCAGTAGTGTTAACATTTAACCCGCGTAAATTCAAAATACAAAAATACACTGAAAAAAATTATTTGATTCAAATGCTTGGTTATTTGATTATTATTAAATAAATATTTTTGTTCAATGTACTAAAATAAATAAATTTATGCTAAATAAATATAAAATAAATAAAAACTTAAAATTAAAATACATTTTTAATTAATATAAACATTAAAATTATAAAACAGTAAAATTAAATTTTCTTATTAGGGGAGACCGAGGAGGAAAGTAACAAAAATCAGTTTTTTTATGGTAGCATTAAAAATATTTGTCGGATGAATTTGTCCAATATATTAAATGAAAGCTTGGACATTCACCTTTTAAATAAAATTTGAATTAAACATTTATAATAAATTCACAGTTCACAGTATAACTTTTACGCAAGCTCTTCATCTGTTACTTTCCTCCTCACCCCCGAGGAGGAAAGTAACAAGCTCCTAGGAGGAAAGTAACAGTATAAAATTATGTAAAATTCTTTAGACTAATGACTATTATTAATTAGAAATATTTTTATTAGGAACACATAAAAGTTTAAGTACACTTTATACTTATTTGGCACATATTTGGGACATATTTAGCACATATTTCGAACATTTTATGAATTTAGCTCATTTTTTTCTTAAAGATATTTTATGCTTACCTAGATCACAGGTTTTTCTTAAATAAATCTCTGTTATTCGTAAAATTAAATACGATTTGCTTCAATCATTAGTTAAAACATGGACAATATCGACAACAGGAGAAAAGTAGCGTGTTACTTTCCTCCTCGGTCGCTTTTTTCTTGTATGTCAACAAAAAAGTTAAAACTACACAAATGTTAAATTGTTTGTTTAAGCACAACTTAAAGACAGATAATAAGGCTACAAAATAACGAAAGGCACATTTTGAAAAACAATAAAATTAAAGAAATACGAGACTTTGAAAATTTGAACGAAAACTTACTTTTGACGTTTTTTCTGCACGTCACACCGGAATCAGACCTAACCTTTCCTGTCAGGCTCGGACACATTATGGAGGAGGAAGGGGGAACAGTGCCGACTAAAAATATGTTTGAACCATGTCTATCCGATAATTTGTTTAAAAGTTATAAGCTTTGTTACTTTCCTCCTCTGTTACTTTCCTCCTCGGTCTCCCCTACTATTGTAATGTAATTTTTGATTTTTGAAAAAAAAGAAAAAAATATACTTAACTTCTTAGTATTCTCCTGTTCAGTCGATTGAAGTGATTTCTGAGAATTTTTTTAATGTCCTCTGTTGAAAAGCTACTGGAGCAGATTCTCCGAGTAAGATTCATGGTCATGCAACCGTGAACAGCCCAGGAATTAAAATGAAGCATATATATATAAATATATATATATATATATATATATATATATATATATATATATATAAAAGGGGCTGAAGGTGTGATCAGCTGGTTAACTCTATATTTCCTCTCATCATCAGATAAACCCCAGAGATCCGGAAAGATTATCTATAATTCACATATACTAAAATAGTCGAGACTACTTTGGAATATATATTTGTTTAAACTAACGCACGTGTTGAATAAATCAACGGAATCAAAATTTTTCCATGATTTCCTCATCTCCATAAATGATTCGTTTAGAAAATATTTGTTTTGTAAAATAATATTACATTTTTTTAAAAAATGATTTGCAATTAACGAAACTAAAAGTTCAAAGCTTTTATAAATATTTAAAAACATTTTTTTTAAATCGTTCGCCATTCTGAATTTGAAAAAAAGAATTTTTTTAAAAAATAATCGACTGCTGTTGACGTCAATTCAATAATAATTATTTATATATTTCATAAATTATTATTAAAATAAAGTATATATATATATACGAAATAGATAAATCTTGCTGAATAAATATAAACTAATTAACATGTGTGTATATATATATATATATGCACATTACCTCAGCGGGTAGTAATTTTAATAACCAGTGTAGAAATATTGTGAAAAACTTGTTTCAGGCAGTGTGCGGCTTTCATTAAAATAAATCCCCCTTTTTTTTAACAAGATAAATTGCGCACAGCCTTGTTCTAGAATTTTCATCCTCTAAAATCCGACATTTATGCTTCTTTAGCAATAAATATATTCATGTTTTATTCACGAAAACCGATTATCAGATTCTATAAAGCGCAAATATTATAAAATGTCCGCGTTGCTAATTAACGACATCGATATTGCTATTATAAATAATGAAAATAATAAATAAATATATATATATATAGGTAAATGAACTATAGTCGTTAATCAAATTTTATTTAATAACTTAATTAAATTATTAAATTAAAAAAAAAGTTATTTTAACAAAGATGCTGGATTAAATTTTTGAAATTTACAATTTCACTAGAATATCACAAATTATTAATTTCTGCCCTCTAAATCTGAATTAGTAATAAAAAGTTTTAACTAATAATTTGAATTGGTGACTGACATTTTTTTACTATTCTTTTATTATTATTTTATTGTTATTTTATTATTATAAATAATGTTAAAAAAGATTAAAAATGATGAATTGATACAAGGCTAAACTGAAACTCTGTCGCCTTATTCACCCAATTTCAATGTTTAATTTTAGAAAATGTCGAGAGTTCGCCAAATATTCGGATCGTTACCAAATTGAAAGAAGGGTCATAAATTGAGGTTGACAATTAATTAAGAATGATTATTAAATTATTTAAATCTCCAATAAACCACGAAAGCATTTATTTATTTTTTTTTTTGCAAAACATTGTTAACATCATACTGTTGCCAAAAAGAGGGTACCAATGGTAAACATCCCCCAAATTAACTTATGTATAAAAAATTAGTTCTTGGAATTTTTTTTTATTCTTCTCAATTTCGTGGATGTACTATGTTAATTGATTATCATGTTTCACTAGACGCTGCTGCGACTATGGGATGTTAATAAATAAACATGTTTTGTTACAGGCGATATGGAAATTTTGGCCTATTTCTTCGGACCAGTGGGTGTTTTGCTTGCAATCAATCTCCTGTTTTTCGTTGCTACAGCAAGAGAGTTGACGTGTGGTTTGTGGAAGGGCGAATTTGTGAAAAGCACCACTGAACGGTAAGAAAAGTTTTGTTAATTTCATTAAAAATGCTGATAAAAGTGATTGCGCTCGATTCAACAAACGACTCTCGTTTCATTCCAAATAAACGTGTGTGTCAAATTTGAATCCTCATGAATAGGTCATCAAAAATATAGTTTAAAAAAGAAAGGATAGATATTTGCCATTTAGTGTAAATTGAACGAAATTTTTTTAAATATCAAAATTTATTATGATTTTAGGTTATATTTTTTATTTTATGAAATAAGGTGCGAAGCAAAAAAAAAAATGTCTCCCATGCCTTTAAGTTATCTTAAAATAATAAATGTGAATTTTTTTTTTTATATTTATTTCTATATGATTGTTAGAATTTTAAAACGCCCGCCATTTATTTAGTTTGTCTAAGCGCCGCTACCCTGCGCGGTCCACTGAGGCTTTCATGATAAAAAAATGACAGTGGGATTAGACAATTTAAGAGATTTTTCACATCCAATCACCGACTGTAAAATAGTAATAAACATTACACTACGCAAAAAAAACAAAATGATTTAATAATTTTTAATTACTAATAATAAATAACAGCTATTGCTTTAATGAATAAAAGTGGACAGTATAGCTCAAACTTTTTTTGAGGTTAACTTTACAATACACAAAATCATGACCAAATAGTAATCACTGAATCTGCAAAAATGAAAATATTTTAATAAAGAAGCAAGCATTTTTTTATAATATATTATTAACATCGTTCGACTTACCTCGTTTCTAAAAGTTCAGATATTTTTATTTCTTAAATACAAATGCTTCATAGTGGTAAACTGACACGATCGACTATGATGCACCCTAACGAGAAGTTCGCGAAGCTTAAACTTATCTTTATAAATTTTCTCCGAGAGAAAACTAAACACACACATATATATATATATATATATATATATATATATATCATTACTATATTATAAAAAGATGCCGCCGCCGCTGATTCAAGAATGAACGCTAGGCGAGAACTACTCGCCTACCACTCTACTCACGAAGCATTCAGACTCACGTACCATTCATAATTTGTCTCAAATTAACACTAGGCGAGAATTTCGACGCTACGCGGGAGATCACAGTACTCGCCTACTGTTCAACTCGCGAAGCATTAAAACTTGCGTACCGTTCAGAATTTGTTTCGAAAATTTCAGATATTGTACTATCTATATCAAAAACATAAGTTAAAAATTAACATAACATCAATACTCAAGGTCAAACGACAGAATCATAGATTAAAACGAATATAACTTCAAAAATCAAGGACATATGTCAAAAACCAAAGTTTTTGATGGAGTAGAGACAGACATAACCTCAAAATTATTATCAGCGGTCAAGATATGATCCTTCCTTTAAACTTTTAAAGGTCATAGGTCAAAAGAGAACATAACCTTAAATTTACGTTGAAGGTCATAGGCACGAAGTAAGAATAAGGAGTCTTCACTCCATGCGTGGATTGAAGGAAAAATGTTCCCAAATCTGGTACAAGCATTCCGGAAAATTAGAATAGTCGGAGGTGGCGTTCGTAACGGGAAAAACCTTAAACTATTAATTTCCCTAATTAAAGTCGTCTGCTATTTTTGAAAAGTATATTATAAAATCACATAATTCCATATTTTTGAAAAATTAAGTAATTGAATAAATAGTAAATGTTAAATATGAAATATTATTTGTATTTAAAAAGTCATTTACAAATTAATTAATTTTATTAATTTTAATGAAGTTCTTTGAAAATTCACTAACTTTAAACTTTTTTTTAATACACATTTTTTAACAATCAATTATTGTTTTTTTTTGTTTTTACAGTAATCTGTAGCTATTTAATTGTAAAAAAGTTTGCATTAAAAATCTCTTAAAATTGAATTAATTCGATCTAAGAATCTTGCTAATATATGACTTTTCCGAAATTCAATTATTTTTAAAATTATTAAAATTCTTTTTAAAAGTAAATGTAATAAAAATGTTTTTAATCATATTTAAGTAAAATTCAATAACTTAAAACATTTTAAAAACTCTTCATATTGTCATAAAGCACACCAGTTTACAGTGAAATTGCCAATCGTACGAAACAATTTTTTTTATTAATAGGTGTTTTTTAAGTAAGAAAAACATATTTTTTTCCTTCGTGCAATTTTGCTGAATCTAAAAAAACACATTTTCGAGGTGTGACGTTACTTAAATTCACCTGTAGGAAAATTAGCTTGTCCAAAAAAAAAAAAATAATATACCATTGGAAAGGTATAATTAAACTACCTTTCGAACTTTCGTCGTACTGTAAAAACAAGAATTGATTGTTAAAGAATGTGTATTAAAAAAAGTTTAAAGTTAGTGAATTTTTAAAGAACTTCATTAAAATTAATAAAATTAATTAATTTGTAAATGACTTTTTAAATACAAATAATATTTCATATTTAACATTTACTATTTATTCAATTACTTAATTTTTCAAAAATATGGAATTATGTGATTTTATAACCCCTTCGTGCCCAGGCAAAACTGAGCATATAAAAAAACGAAACTAAAGTGGTTCCTATAGTTTTTGGGGTCGCTGATTACGAATCTGGTGTTAGTTTTTGAAAATTTAAAATGGCGGATTCAATATGGCGGACGAAAAAATAAAAATTGTTCGGATTCGCTTGAAAATTGTCACTCGGGGGTTTTCGGGGTCGCTGATTACGAATCCGATATTAGTTTTTTAAAATTCAAAATGGCGGATCCAATATGGCGGACGAAAAATCAAAATTGTTTGGATTCGCTTGAAAATGGTCACTGGGGGGTTTTCGGGGTCGCTGATTACGAATTTGGTATTAGTTTCTCAAAATTCAAAATGGCGGATCCAATATGGAGGAAGAAAAATTAAAATTGTTTGGATTCGCATGAAAATGGTTACTCGGGGGTTTTCGGGGTCTCTGATTACGAATCCGATATTAGTTTTTCAAAATGACGGATGCAATGTGATGGTCGTATTTTTAAAAGTTATTAACAAAAAAAATCCAACGCACTTCTTGCGGAACCTCAAGGGTGGTGTGGTAGGCCGTTAGACATAAAAAATAAACTTTTATTGCTGTTATACTTTTAACATATTTTAATTTGTTTAATTTAAATTAGTTTCAATCGATTGTTAACGATTATTAAAAATTGATCTGCAACATTGGATTTAAGACTCAATTTTTGAAAACTAATACCAAATTCGTAATCAGCGACCCCGAAAACCCCCCAGTGACTATTTTCAAGCGAATCCGAACAATTTTGATTTTTTTTTGTCCGCCATATTGGATCCGCCATTTTGAATTTTGAGAAACTAATATCGGATTCGTAATCAGCGACCCCGAAAACCCCCGAGTTACCATTTTCAAGCGAATCCGAACAATTTTGATTTTTCGTCCGCCATATTGGATCCGCCATTTTGAATTTTGAAAAACTAGTATCGGATTCGTAATCAGCGACCCCGAAAACCCCCGAGCGACAATTTTCAAGCGAATCCGAACAATTTTGATTTTTTCGTCCGCCATATTGGATCCGCCATTTTGAATTTTCAAAAACTAACACCGGATTCGTATTCAGCGACCCCAAAAACCCCCGAGTAACCAGTTTCAAGCGAATCTAAAATGTTTTAAAAATTCGTCATTTTTCATAATTATTTATATTTTTTTCTGAACAATATAAATTTTTAAACAAAATGTGAGTTCCATTTTTTGAAAGCTCTATCCTTCTTGAAAAAAATGCACCAAGTTTGAATAAAAAATATTTAATCTGTTAAGAGTTCTGGAGGTTTTTGTAGGTGGGACATATATGTCCCATGGGCACGAAAGGGATAATATACTTTTCAAAAATAGCAGACGACTTTAATTAGGGAAATCAATAGTTTAAGGTTTTTCCCGTTACGAACGCCACCTCCGACTATTCTAATTTTCCGGAATGCTTGTACCAGATTTGGGGACATTTTTCCTTCAAAGTGAAAACTCCTTATTCTTACTTCGTGGTCATAGGAGTGTAGGCGAACATAACCTCAAAATTTGGTCAAAGTTATAGAAAAAATTGGACATCATCCCCCAAAATTAGGGTTATAGGTTAGAAGGACGTCATCCGTGGTGCATCTTAGAAACAAATTCTTTAAAATGAAATGATAAATTTTATTTAAAGAAATTGGGTAAAATTAATCTTTAAAAACATATATAAAAACTTATTCGGTCCCTAATTAATTTTTCAATTGCAGAATAGATGAAAATTTAGTTTACGGATGCAAGTTAAAATATAGTTTATGTTCATATTAAAATATAAATAAATTTCTGCTGTTTAAATTTAAAATTTTTTTATTAAATATAAATTTAGGGCGCACTCACACCTTCTGGCTGCCTGCCTGCAGGAGTTGTCATGGCAACGTGCAGGAGTAAGAGAGAGAGAAAATTCAAATTTGAATTTACTATCTCTGTTACTCCTACACGTTGCCATGACAACTCCTGCAGACAGGCAGGCAGCTGAGAGGTGAGAGTGCGGCCTTAATCAAAATAATATTTAATATTTTTAGTAAATTTAAACAGGGGGTTGGCGCGAAAAGCGTGCAGGGGGGCGAAGCCCTCCTAGTATATATATATATTTTTTTTTTTTTGTGAATAATGTTTTACTAAAATCTTTGGAAAAATTTTAAATAGAAATCTCTTGGCAAAGAAGGGGAAATGCAATTTATAATAATAAATCGTCATACTGACTGTGCAGCAGTTTCACAAAACAGCGGGTGGGTTTTGCCGCGGAAAAAAGAGTCATTTCTTTTGAGCTCAAAATCAAACGCATTCATTGTTCACCAGAATAGTTTCATGACAGAGTTAGTGCATATAAAAGAAATTTGACACAGTTCTCCTTGACAGGATAAGATATTTACATTTAAATCACGAAAAAAAATGTACTTAAATTTTTATCGTGAATGTGACATTTTTTGTTTTTCAATTTTTTAAAATAAGTTTTTAATATCAGATTGAAAAATTTATTTATA